GCACTGTACAAGCACTTTATCACATCGATCATCATGGTCCCTCCTTGATTTACCACTTCACTTCGGAACACCTCCAAGAGTTGTTGGACCCTTTGCACCTCGTCAGCATTAGCCACCAGCCGTCGATGTTCAAGCTCATCTTGTAGTCGATCATCCCGGTACGCGAGATGGGCTGCTTCCAGGGCACCAGCGATCTGAGCCATCAGGATGGCCATAAAGCGGAAGAAGCTTTGCAGAACCAATTGTCGGTGATGGGCGTCTCCCAAGTACCAGTGGTGCCTGAAAGCTTCAACGACATGTCTTGGCAGGGCATCGGTTCTGGCCTCGACGTCTGGGGCGTCCCCTTCTTGCGTGATGTCCAGGAGCCTTCTCCAGAACACAACCTGTTCCACAGCTGCCAGAGGAACTGACTTCGGTCGTTCCACATCCCTAAATATCGCCCTCGACCTTCACCGCTGTCACCACCGTTGCGTCTAGCGTAGTTGCTTCCTCCTTCTCTGGTGGGGTCGGGGTCTCGAACATCTCGTGGGCGTTCATCCTCTCTGGCAGCACTGGAGCTCGATGGGTTGACCACTGCGCATTCATCTTCCTCGTTCTCGTCGACAAACCACTCCGACTTCTTGGGCCTCCTCCACTTCGCAACTTTCTTTTCCGGCTTCTTCTTTGGAGCGTGTGTCGGCGGCGATGGCTCTCTAGCCGGTCTCTTCTTTGGGTAGCGCCGTCTGCGCGGTTCATCTCCCCATCCTCGAGTGCTATATGTTGTGTACCTTTGGACCAGCACGGCGGAGTCGCCTCCGTTTTGAACTCTGCGCCTGCACGAAGCGCTGGTCTCGTTCAGGATGCCGTCGTGAGCCACAAGCGTCCCTCTGTACTTAACAGCCGCTTCACCCTCTAGCTGGCCACCCTTGAAACCCTTGCCGGGATCCGCAAAAATGCCGTCTGGAGCCACATTCGTGCCAGAGTCTTTTAACATGGCCTCACCCACGAGCAGGCCACCGTAGGTGAACCACATCACCCCATGACTGGCCTTCATGAAGCCCTTCACAACTTTCACCCTCGTCGGCCAAAATGGCCGAGCACATTGGCTGCATTTGTCCCTCATTCCAATACCATCGACACGTTGCTGTACAGGTTGTCGTGGTCAACCCTAGGCAATCGCTGGCACAGCGACAGGTATGTCATCCCGCCACCGACCATCAGGACCACGCTGGCTTCCAAGTGCTCTACCCTTCAATTGACTGCTGTCTGCCCGATGTCCAAGCACCCCTTTGTCTTTCAACCCACACATCTTCCATCTCCCTCCATTGTTGACGATGGGCAGCAGCGCCCCGCCAACCCTCCCCTCCAATTGTGTCTCCCACAGCCCTTTTCTGCAGCATCAAAAAGGGAAAATGTCGTCGTCTGTGCCTTGCCCCGCTGCTCATTTGCTGCTCCCTCCACCACGCGAGCCCTCGCACCAAGCTCAGCTTTCCAGTCACATAAAGGTTAGGCCCCAGCCCGGCCCTCACCCTGTGACCTATGAACTTCCAGTACTGCCTCAGGCGCACATCTCCCCCCACCTCCGGACTTCATGGTCCCAAAGAACTCGTCTGGCATCCCTGCATGCTCTACACTCGAAATCAACCCACAGCTCATCATCCCTTCTCGTGACACGTAGCATCTCTCGAACACATTGGATTTGGGCTGCATTCAAGTACATCTGGATAGCCTGTGTGGGGAAGATGGTGCCCAACACCCATCGCATGCTTGCCAACACCACTCTCTCCAACAGTTGCAGCCTAAGAGCAAGAGACGAGCGAGCAACAAGGATGTGCTTGACGCTGTAACACTTAGCCCTTGCCTTGTCGACCAGGTAAGAAACAATTTCGAGCTCACTCACCCCTGCACCAATTGGGAGGTTCAAAATGGTCATGTGTGTGTTGGGTTCCAGAGGCCTGATTTCCATGTTTCCGACCAACACCGATGCTGGCTGCACATTTCCCAAACAAAGGAGCTGGCATTTGCTGGGCTGCAAGACGAGGTCGTACTTTTCCAGCTCAACAACCAACACCCTCAAAGTGGTCTGCATAGCAAACAGGTTTTTGGCCCACAAGACAACGTCATCCATAAACCCGACCCCAGGATCAGTTACCTCCGGCAGAATTGGGGCAGCTGAAGGCGGCAGTTGTTCGAAGATCCAATCCATCACCCGCTTGAACAGAGCCGGGCTCTCAGTGGATCCCTGTTTGACGCCATTTGTGGCCGGCACAGCGGCATCTCCCCACAGCGTGCAGAACAGCAGTTCTGACGATTTCATAAGCTCCAAGACGCATGCTGCCTCATCTGGGTGATCTGCCCCCCATTCGACCAACTTCTTGCCCAGAGCAACCCGGTTGATTGAGTCATAGGCTTTTCGGATATCCAGTTTTAACAGCACTCCTCCCCCTTCCCACTCACGCAGGACATGAGCAGCGTGCTTCACAGCCCAGTAGGCATCAGCTGCCTGCCTGTGTTTTGCCGCGCATTGCATGGCTCCCACAGGAGCAAGGGCAGGTCCCAACCTCAACATTAGCAATCGCGTAAATGCCTTCGCCACGTGAGAGGCCAACGTGATCGGCCTCAAATCGGCTGGACACGCAGGACTGATTGTTTTGGGCAGCAATGTAACTATCGCTCGCGAGCACTCCTGCAGCACTTTTCGGTCAACAAGTAACTGGTTGAAAAATTCGGCCACGGCCGTCAGAGATTGAGGGTCTTCAGCCAGGCGCTGGAGCACTTCGGCGGGTACCTCGTCCGGCCCCACCGACCGATTGTTCTTTCCTTGGAGGATTGTCGCCTGAACACCACTTTTCCTGGAGATAAACGTAGGCACGTTCAGGCATTTGCTCTTCGGTGGGATGTGCTGCAGCCCTCTCTCTCCGAATACCTCATACAAGACGCCTTTCTTGCAGTCTCTGGACACGTTGAGGACGTCTTGTTGACTCTCTCTCCACACGAAATCCACATTCATGTCACCAAGCAGAAGCACGGGACCGTCCCATGCGGGAAGAGCAGCTGTCATCTCAGCACACAACCTTCTGTACTCATCATTGCTTTCATTTTTTGGAAAATGGACGCTTCCTACCCAGACATGTTTCCCAGATTCAGCATGCAGAAATTTCATCCACACCCCTCTCTCCACTTTTCGCTTCTTCAGTAGGAACAGCTTCTCGGGCCTGAACATGACACCGATCCCTCTATAGGTGAGAATGTCCTGGCGCACCCACCCCTCAAGGCGATCGGCACTCACATGTTGCCGTCCGGGAGTTGCTTTGGGGAACTCCTGAAGCGCCATCACATCGAACGACACAACAGACATAAAAGTCTCAATCACAGCCTTTTTGCACATGCCGGCAACATTCCATGACCCGAATCTCAACTTCTTGGAAGTCTCATCAGGATCATCCTCGCAACCCTTTGAGTGCTCGACCTCGACGGCAGGACCTGACACATTTCCATGAGGAACAGCCTCGACATCTACCCCGCAAGCACCTTCGGGAAAATCTGTACCCGACGGTCACCTTCACGGCTACCTCCTTCTGCATTCAAAGTCCATGCACCACCTTCGCACCCCTCTGGCTCGGATCAGTTGGCAAGCGCAAAGCTCCAGGCATCACTGATCTCCTTCACCTGCTTGCCAGCCTTCGCTGCGAACAGCACTGGGGAGAACCAGCTGTTTTGCACCTTGCCCGGCACTGTCTCAAGCCCCTGCGCAGGAGCCCTCGCAGTGGAGCCCACCAACTGGTCGCGGTACCACAGACTTCCCTCCTTGTAGTCACACTCGCACTCGGAGATATCAAGCCGGAAAGAATGAACAACCCTTCTGATTTTGGAAACATGGTTGCCGGACTCACTTCGTTCACCACGCTCTTTCGACAGGGTCGCCCACACTGGGCATCCGTCGAGGGTGCTTGATGTGCTCAGCGCCGCGCGGTTGACCAAGTTGATGACCTCTTGCATACGGTGCTTCATGTCTTCGTGGCCTTCGGCCTGTCTCTCGTGAAATCCTGCCAATGCTATTCCACGGCGTGGTCCCGGAGTCCACGGTTGCTCGTCCAACCACTCCCTGGCAGTCGACTTGTCCAGGACATCACCAAGTTCGCGGAGAAGTTTCTGCTTCGGAACAGCGGCGGTCCAGCCGCCGAAGATGACTGCCGGGCGCTGGGCAGCCCCGTCAGAAGCCGTGGTGGAACTTGCTCTTCCGCCCAATTCCAGCTTAGTGAGTGTCCTGGGTAGCAGTCATCTTTTCTTCTCCTTCTGAAGGGTCTTCATGTCATCCACTCGCCTCCCCGACGCACGCTTCAGGTCGCCCTTGAGTTCCTCCAGAGCTCCATACATCCTCTTTTCCGAGGCCTCCACTGCCTGAGACTCGGCCGCCGCGATCTCGGCCCTCTGCCCGTCTTGAATCTTCTTGGTCTGCCTGTCCAGCAACTCCTGGATCTGGTCAATGGAGAGCTCGCCGGCGTGTCGTCTGGCAGGCGACATAGGAGGCTGGAGTTCAATGGGGCTCTCCCTCTTTCTGGCCCCTTGCCCGGACATGATGCGGAGAATCGTCACCACGGAGACGGCGTCGCGAAGCTCAGCCCCCTTGCGGTCCGTGACGCGCCGAACTCAGCCTGGTAGATCAAGGCAGGCACCCTTGCACAACTTGGCGGGCCCGGCAACGCGCAGCGCCCAGCGAATGGCATAGGATGAGAGAGTTCGGATGGAGTTCGGCTTAATGATCGTCATGCTGACCACGACGGCCGTCATCATCCTGGTGGATGCCCTCATGTTCGTTCTCATCAACCCTTCGGTCATTCTGTTCGGTTTGATTAGCCATGCCGTTCCGATCAGCCCTTGGCGCCAAGCCCTCATCATGCGCAGGTGGTTTGTAGTCATTCGTGGTGGCCGCCTCCGCGTTTGGGGTTTAGGGTTTAGGGTTTGGGGTTTAGGGTCTAGGGTTTTGGGTTTTGGGTTTGGGATTTAGGGTTCTAGGGTTTGGGGTTTCAGGTTTAAGGTTTGGAGTTTAGGGTTTAGGGTTTGGGGCTTCAGGTTTAGGGTTTAGGGTTTAGGGTTTGTTGTGGTTAGACAACTTAAATGTAAGCTACCATTGAATCCTATAGATTTTTGGGTTTAGGGTTCAGACCCCCTTAATCGCACAGCTTTTGCCTCCTCATGTCAACATTTCTCATGGCGTCCCTGGACTTCGCTACATGCATGAGATTTGGGCATTTGTTTCATACGGCATTTTCACAAAGCAATACCTGCATCTTGGTAGGCACTCCGCCAAATTTGCAACGAAACAAATTAAACTAAGCCAGGCACCCCTACTTCGCATGTAGGTTGCACTTACCTAGTGGACGAACGAAACGATACTCTGCGATTGACAGAAACCTATCTGATGAAACTTCTTCGTGGCCACACGATGCCTTGCTACATGAGGTCTCATGTGGTCCATGGAACCACACGCTCATCGCTCCAAGACACAAATGTCCAATTAACATTTAAAAAGAAACGTCCATGTGAGTGTGTCTGGCTGGTGCTGTCATCCCCTGCCCAGAGATATGGATTGCCTTGAGCCAGAGAGCTACGTCAGGGTTGGCGGCTCCACGAAGCAGTGAGTGAGTAGGCCTGCAAACATTTAGAACAAACATGTACATCATGTACTAGACAAACGAACGCTGCAACAGACATGTATACCTTGATCACACACGAACTGAAAGTGTCAGCTCCTCCAAATGCAAGATCTCAGGCAAATGACAACATCTGGCAGAGTGTGCTGGCAGATCAACCATTTTGATGGACACTGAATGTAGTATGTGCCCATGCTCATGTGTTCAAAGCGCGCCCAGATCCCATGACGCAACAGCGCATGAGCAACTGCCTCGAATGCAGGCAAAGCAGAAAGCGCACGAGCTGCGTTTCAAGCCGCCCGCTCGCTGCAGAACATCCATGCAGGATCCATCCGGTTTCGCAGCGTCAGCGCAGCTGTCCGCCCTGCCCAGCACATACCGCCAGCACACAGCGCCGAACGCAGCACGTTCGAAAGCATAGAGCTGCATCGCTTACTTGGGGCTTGTTAGCTGGAACCGTGAAGACGCGGCCTGCGACGCAAAGATCCTCAGACTCGTGCTTGCTTGCCAAAGTTGCAAGCCTTTTTCTGAGACTGTCTGACACTCTCCGGTCCGCAGGAAGACTCCACATGCAAGAGGCGGCCGAAGCATCATTGAGCAGCAATCTGCTCTGATCAAGTCTCTGAAAGGCCACCAGACGTGTTCAGTCGCACGAGTGTAAGACTAGTGTAAGCCTTCGGCATGGCATGTGGGATGAGCTGCGCAACTTTAATGATACCACACACAGCTCAACGGTGATTTAACGCTCCCTGCAAGTCTCTGGTCACCCATCAACTCTTGTCAGCATTGTCGCCTAGCAATTCAAGACCTCAGGATGCAAAGTTCCTACGCAAGAGGGCGGCCACTCTGTCGCAAGTCATCTTAATGAAAGGACGCTACAGTAGGCACATCGTTTCTCTCCACAAACCGCTGTTGCAAGAGGCGACGTCGCTACGAAGGCCGGCAAAGGCGCTGTGCAAACCTCAGCGCGCATGGGGTGCCTATGATTCCATCATCATGGCTGGTCCACTGCTCCTGCTTCAAGCTTAGAGGTCAAGTCCCAACCTTTCAGAAGCTTCGCCTGCAACCTACTTAAGCAACATTCAAGTAGGATGGCCCGTGAGGATGCCAGAAGCCCTTGGACGAAATTGGTGGACAGCCAACAAGTTGGGACGAAGTTAGTCGAAGACACGGGGGCTTTGACGAACGAAAGGCCACAAGGTGTTTGCAAACTGAGACCAGCAACAGGCTTCTGTTCAAGCAAAACAAGGCTGCGAAGCCAACTTCCCACAAAGCTTAGACGAAGCAGAGGCTGTTAGTCGAAGGCCTATGGACTGGGCAGGGCTTAGACATGCTTTGTTGAAAAAGCATGGGCCATAATCCCTTTGCGCAGTCCCCCTTGGCTTGGCCCTGACCTAATCTCTGATGCTTCCCTCCACTTTACAGACTTTACCTGTCCAAAGTGGGATTGCTCGTAAGTACGGGGGCGGTCCATGGCCACAGGCCTCAGAAGCCTTAGCATCCCAAAAGTTATTTCAGTCTTGACACCTGGCCTCAGTGGCCCCGGCTTCATGAAAAGAACATCTTGAAACATCCCTTCACACCTACACTTCGTGCAGCAACTCTCCATGACTTGAGGGAATCAGAGAGAAGGCACTGGAACCTCGAACATTTCGAGCAAAATCCTTTCCCCCTAGCAGAGACAACGGTCTGCTCAAAGTGGGCCGATGATCCCTGTATTGCAGTTTCTAGAAATGGGAATATCGGAACCACCAAAAAAGGTCCTCTAATTGTCGAAAAACCCTCATAGGCCGCTCAAGGCAGGCTGGCTTCGAGACTGCCGCGCCGCAGCTGGTGGACTTTCTCTTCTGCGCATGCTGGTAGAAAGGCATGATGCCCCGCAACCCTGAACCCTAGACCCTAAACCCTGTGGAGGTCACCTGCCTGGGCTTTTAGAATCTTGCAGGTCAAACTGGGGGCTCCGGTCGGAAATAGGAAGGAAGCAGGAGATGCACATTGCCACCACCCTAGTTCAATGAGAGCTGAGGCAGAACATCGTCGCACACTTCCACTCCTTTTCAATTCTAGGAAGCACTCGGCAGCGCTCGGGAATGGGGCAGCCGCACACTCAGCAGCACTTGGCAGCCAGAGCAGGGTTCTGGCTTGCCTGGGTCAAGTCCCACGCGCAGCCAAAGGGCAATCAAAATTCCTGCCGCTTGAAGTCTTGAGCTGCGAAGCAGCCTTTGTGGTGCTAGATCCTTCTGGATGTGGTGGCCTTTGCACACAACTTCTGTTTCAAGTTTTGTGTCTCCTGTTTTATCCTCTAGGATGGTTGGACCTCCCCATACTTGCTGGCACTGGACACTGCCTGGGGCCCTCTCCCCATTGGTTTGCAAGTTGAACAGCAGCGCTGCCGAGAGCAATTAGCGAGCGCTGCCGTCCCGCCTGCGCCTGAGCGCTGCCCAGTGAGCACGCCGCAGGGCTCAGGGTGCCCTTGGCAGCCTGCCCACTCGGCGGCACTCGGCAGCACTCGGCAGCCAACGCGGAGAGGCTCAAGCCTTGATTAAGTCCCTAGCGCTGGGCCACGAGTCTTCTCCACGGCAGATTGTCTGGGGTTGGGTTCGAGATTTCGATTGGGCACGATGCCTTGGACAGATGTGCAAAGTCTTTACCAAAAGGTCGCCATACTTGTTAACATGCGATTGTGCAAAGATCGTTTTCGCACGCAGGCCCTTTTGAAGTAAAAGCATGCATGCGCAGCTGAGATTCCAGAGCGATGTTGAACATCGCCATGTAAAACACATGGGCAAAAAAACGGCATGTTATCGTTGTTTCCATGTGCCTGAAGCTCCCTAAGGCTTCCTAAGGCTTACTAGGGCTTACCAAGGCTTACAAAGGCTTGCTAAGCCCTGCTAGGCCTTGCTAAGCCTTCCTAAGCCTCAGCAGCCCTCAGAGTGAAGCTCGGCTACAACCCAGTAACAGAAAATGCCTTTGGAGGGCCCCCTTTGGGGGGACCCTCTCCGCATACCCCACTGAAGCGGGAAAGAAAACAAACTGGAATCCAGGGCACTCAAGCAATTGATAGCCTGAACCATGCGGAATGGTCCCCTCGGCATTTCACTTGTCCAATCCCCAACCCTGAGACTAGTTCGCTCCTGCCGGACAATGTCCCTGTCCATCCAATGGAACAAATTTTCCACATCCATGCATCTTCCAACCTCCAAGGAGGGTAGACTCGGGTAGACATGAGCTGTAGTCTAAACTCCTGAGAGGGTTTTTATATTGGGGTTTAGGAAGGGACTATGACAGGGGTTTTTACGGGGGATACTAGGCGCTTCGACTACAGCTCACATGAACATGAAAGCATCGGCGTAGTGCATTTAGCACAAGCACAGTGAAGCAGTGGATCAACCACAAAGTCTTAATCTAGGGCTTGGGGTCTAAGGTCCTGGCAGCCCTATGCGCTCACCTGGGAGGAGAGGCAAGGTGGGCAGGGGTATGGGAGTTGCGGCGGCAGGGGAAATGAGCAAAGTTTGGGACAGCTACTTGGCTTCAGCAGAAGAACTTCTAAGCCTAAAACCAGTTCTCCTAATTTTTCCTGAAGAATGGAATGTCAGCTAGCCTTCTCCTGCAGGCCAAGAGCAAACAGTCCTGGGACCCTCAGCCAGTGCTTTGCCTTGCTCGGTCAGGGCTCTTGTACATGGGTCCCTTTCATAATACGGCCCCCAATGTTTACCACCATGGGCTATTAGACCCCTAAACTTCCCTATTAGGGTCTAATAGCCCATCGTGGTAGGGTACCCCCAAAAAGCCCCATTTTTGGGCAACCTGCTATTTGAGCTTTGGCTTCCTTTCAGGTACCTGTGGTGATTTGCTCGGGCCCGCATCCTGTCGTCTGCTGCCATGAAAAGCCCAAGGCTGGGCATCCACACGAGCATGCGAGCCCAGCCACGGGCTTAAGGTTTAGGGTTTAGTGTTTAGGGTTTTGCGTTGAAGGCTTCCCGAATTAGCGGTAC